TTTATTCGTCAAACAGAGCATAATGTCGTGCGTTTGCTTAAAATAAGAATACGCAAAGGAATGCATACAAAAAATTCGATTTTATTTTGTTTGAATAGTTTGGTATAGCTTCTGCAAATAAAAAGCACCGTTAAATTGTACGGGCAGCCGAGATATTAAAAATTCGGAAAGAATCGTGATCAACAGCTAAATGAGGAAAATGCGTCTGTTATAAGCAAAGGCTGAAGTTGGCGGCTGATTTCCTTCTTGCATCAGTTGCCTTCCGCTCCTGTGTGATACGCAAATGCCCATACGAAATGATGTGGACAGAAGTGATAAAACCCAATAGCATATTATTACGTTTACTGGACAGCAATAGCTTGGCAATAGCTTACTGCAATCTATGATGAAGAAAACGGTAGAGCGAACGATACTTGACATGCCCCTCTGCGACTACGTGAACCATCGGACTCTTCTTGAGATGTGCTACCTAAAGATCACATGAGAAAGTGAAATCCGATAGACAAGTAAAAACCCGTTGCTTGCTTCACCGGCGACCGTTGGGCGCCGCTCATTAAGTAAATGGTACTCGCGAGAAATCTGAAGAAATGGCTCAAATAATAGGGCAAAATCACCTGGAACAGTTGTGCCTTCCGTGTGGCAGTATCTTGGTAATATTAGCATGGGATACCCGCGCCGACAGCTTGGGCGGTTTTGGTATTGTCGTACCGTTTAATAGTGAATTTAGAAGAAATGTTTTCCAGTGCGCCCCATTTTAAATACATTAAGGCTCCATAGCTCTCAAAATTTCTTCCCGGAAGTGCCCAGAATCTTATTACTTCAAAATACTGCTTCAGCTGGACATAAAAAGTTGAAGGGTTCCCCTGCAAGAGACGTAAGGCGTTGCTTGATTTCTTCCTTCAGCCGTTCTGTTTACACTTCTATATGTGAAGAATACACTGAGCCCTGTACTAACACACCAAGACTTGAGCGGAGAAGTGAGGGAAGAGGGATGGAGGACTGAGAAATTTCTGTAAATAAAGTTCGAGAAACCATGTTGAACTGGCAACGGGTGTCTTCATCGATATAGATCCATTTCACGACATTTTTTCCTCTTTTCACCCTCTTCACATCCACCACCGTTACCCCTAGCTCCCGGCATTTGAGCGCCGTGAAATGCCCTCCCTTCATCTCCCTCATTCCGCTTCCGTTCACTCAGCATCAGAAAAGAAGCATAATTTTCCACATCCTGTAAGTCAGCTAAACGCTTCTTCCAACTATGCATTTTGACCTTACGTTTACTCAGTTCGCTGCTTTCTACATTACGACAGTATATTCCGGTAAGCACTTCTGTATAATTTTTTTTTTCAAAAAACGTTGTTTTTAAAGAGCTAAGGCTAATAATGTAAGACAGTCAAAAAGATAAAACCGAGCAACGAAACTGAGAATAATAGCTGGAGGTTAGAAACAAGATGTGCCGCAAGGAAAACACGATGGTTTGGAAACGAGTTACTCTACGATAGTGTGATGAAGTGTTAATTCAAAATGAATTCGAAATGCGAATTCAAAGGGGATACGAATTCCGAGTATCACAACCGAACGGTTTGAGAAATATGTAAAAACGGTCTGAAATATCTAAAATAGAACAGCCTTCACTAAGTGAAACTTACTGAAGGTTATTGCCGTGGAAAATCCGCGAAAAGCTGACCAAAGGCCACTATAAACAAAAAGATGAAAGCTGCCTGTAGGAAGCAGAGAAGAAAAGAAAGGTGTATCGTGCCTCGAAGGGCAGATGCACAGTAGATTTACTGCCAGTCTGAACCGGAGCACAAGAGTCGGTGGTGCAGTGGTAGCACACTAAGTTCGGATGCGAAAGGGAGTGGTTCGATTTCCTTCCGGCCCAAAACATTTTTCGAGGAAGGGCTCTGTTCATGACAAAGTGACATCACAACTGTTCGTTTAATGAAATATGCAAAAAACAGGGCTGTGAAACTTACTGAAGGCGGTTCTATTTTAGATAATGCTCCAGTAGCAGTGCAAAGCGTTTACTTCCTCATACACTATATAATATTTTTGTAAATTTTGTAATATACTCTTTCCAAATTACTACTTCTCTTTTTAACCTTGGCTCATTTTTCACTGCTCCTGTTTACTATTGGCTCAAAATACACTTTTAGTTAAAACAGAAAGTTAGAAATCTAGAAAAGCCGCGTTTTGGAAAGTCTATTAAGCGGATAACCGTTTTTGTGAAGTGTAAACATCTCTTATAAGGAGGGGTGGCCAAAAATGACGCCAATAATTTTCGCGACAAAGACAAAATAAATGTGGTACTTAGATGAAGAAGCGATCTCTCTGGCCCAAATTCTGCATTTTCAAAGGTATATCTTTCAGAGCAATGCTATAGCTGCGCCTCAATGAACATGGAAGTGGTACGTTTTCATACATATGCTGAACTGTTCATTGAAATTTAATTTAGTTTCAATTTCTACGCTTTTTTGCTTCTTACATCATACGCAAATGCAACGCAGGATGTTAAGCACCAAGGTTGCGCGATCATGCAGTTTTGCGCTAAACTTAAAGCAGTCAAGTCGTTAAAAGCATGAATGGTTTCTGTGTTATTGTTTAACCATGTGTATTGGTATTGTTATTGTTTTGGCCTTTCTCGCATGTAGGGGGAAAAGAACATTGGGAAGACTGGCCATGGGGCCACGTGAACTGCTATTATGCATGTTTATCAATTTTGCATGAAAAGAAATGAATAGTTTCTGGTGAGCGGTTGTGCATCGAAAAATGCAAATTTGACAATGCAAAGGATGCCGAGAGAAGGATTAAGAAATTCGCAAAATGCACTCGCTTTTGAGGTTACTACAAAATTCAGTCATTATTATATAACCCTGTGCAGAAAAAAGAGCAACTCTGCTGCACATGTACCAGCATTTACTTGAATTAACATTTTAAAAAAGTTAAAATTGAAAAAAAATGTAAATTCGATGCAAAACTTTAATTTCGACTAAAATTCTGCAGATGTTTTTAAAATATGGTTTGATGTTTTTTAACGTTTTCTTTTTAGGACTTTCTGACTAGGTCTCGAGGACCACAAAAACGAATTGCAAAACCACGATTGTTCAGTGACTTCTGCGACACCGATGCCTGGCTTATTAAAAAACAAAGCTCTATTAATTGTCCTGGATCGTGCTTCAAATGGCAGCAAATCATTAATAATTCTGGTTAGTAGTCCGTTACTTCAAAATATTCTAGCGTGTCTGTTATTCGCTTCAAAATCCTACTTCTACTTTATTGTACGTTGATAAAATCTAAAGTGAATATAATTGACGGTGCCGCAATTCAAAACACAAGTGACTCATGGACTTTGCATGTCACCGAGTGATACCGGTAGCTAACACTTTAATTCCTTGATTTTCGGGGAACTGGAAAGCGTTTTTTCCTTTTTTTTTTTTTTTTTTGGACGAAATTAATTGTAACTGAAGAAACTTAGGATAAAGACCTTGCACAGATATACTAAATTCCTGATTACCCCCTAGTGATATCATAAATCTTGAAGGGAATCTGATGAATTTATTTGGCTTTAGTTACATAAATAAAAGGTATACAGCCATCGAAAAAGACATGTTGGCTTTGCCCTCCAAGGAAGACTGAGAAATGCAGGAGTTGCCCTGTTGAATCAAGTTCAGTACCTGATCATCGAGCAGTCAAACTAAGGATAGACACACTGCTTGTTCCTACCTTGTTTTGCCAAAGTCAAAACAAGCGCTCTCTGTTTCTGTTATCCATGAAAGACAGAAACTATTCGGGAAACAACACGTGTAGCAGTTGCAAATGTAAGCAGTAGCCATCTGTCGGCAGGGTTGTCGTTGGTTCGCCCTCTTCCAAGAGTCGCCTACAAGCAAGTCAATGACGAGTTTAACCCCCTCGGCACAGGTTAGCACAAAATTACCATCGAAACAATGAAGTTAATTGTAAAGGGTTGGTTGTCTGACTGACGGAGCCGAACTCTCGCTCTGCTGCTCGACAACAGTGCTTCTTTTCACTGTGCTTTTGTCGCCAGACTC